CTCTAAGGGTGCAACTCGAGCGGGTTTGGTCGGGTTGAGAGATTGTCCAAACCCAGTTCAAGTTGTGTTGAGACTTGCCCAAGCCCGAATTGTAATCCGAGATTTTTTTTTTGTTGCAGCTACATTGTTAAATTATTAAAATTTAACTCTATTTATATTTTTTTTAGAAAATCATTAATAATATCAAAATAAATAATTTATATAATATAAGAGAGATGCCGTTATAATAGTATTTACAATCTAAATTACTTTAATATCATATAATGGATAATAATTTAATATTTTTATATATCTCTCTATGTATAATTTAGACTTCAGGTTATTTGATATCTTTGCCCAAGCCCGTACCGAATTTGAAAATATTTTATCCAAATCCTAAAAAAATCAGATTAGATACAGATTGCTCGGGTTCAGCCCGCTCAACTTGCACCCTGCTCAATACTAGACAATCTACATTATGAATTTTGGGTTGGAACTCATTGGGCTTTCTTCAGAATTGAAGCCATTTGCTGTTAGGGCTTTCAACGGAAAATTGGGCCTAACTCAAACCCAATCCTCTTCATCTGTGTGGGCCTTTCACATTCCATTGAAACACTGTAGGTTGTGTTCGTCGTATCTTGAAGTTGTCAAGAGAAAATAAAATATAATAAAATTAAATTATATATATTATGAGCAATTACAAAAAAAAGGAAGAAAGATAAAAAAAAAATTAATAAAAACCTGAAAAAAAATAATGATTACAAAGATGTGAAATCTACCTATGAAATGACAAAAATGGCCCTTGTGCAACCCCTCTCACCTCAGTCTTCTTCTTTGTAGACTCCTCTCTCATGTTTTTGTTATAAATTTTAACTCAACCCCTAGTTAAAATTATTTTACCTAATTTTGGTTCTACTAGTGTAAAAACAAAATCATTCAATCCATCAAACTTTGCTTTTGCTAGTGATGTAATTTGTTGGCTTTTACTCTCTCTTTTTTTAATTATTAATTCAACCCTTCAGCTATGATAAAAGTCAATGTAATTCACTTATTAACAGGAGAAGTTACTTGGTGATTATGGAGCATGATCAGATGATATTTTAAAAGTGCTCTGGTTGGTTGAGAGGTTAAGATCAACAATTTTACATAAAAATAAAAATAAAAATAAAGAGCATGATGTTTAATGATTGATAAGATATATTGTTAAGTAGTAACCCTAGATCACTAAGGGGTGTTTTGGTAACACATAAAAAAAAAAGTTAAAAGTTAGTTTTTAATTTATTTTTTGTCATATCATCTTTTACATGAAACTGTGAAAAAAATCAAAAATGTCAAAAAGTTATCTTTTAACCATTTTCTCAAAATATTTTCATGAAAAATGCTTGGGAGCACTAATTAGTGCTCCCACTAATTAGGTGGCAGTGGGTCCCGCCATTAATGATGTGATGTTTTGGTCTTGGAGTTGTATTTTTTTTTTTTTTACTTTTTTAATGCATTAGTGCTATTAGTGGTGATGTTTTTAGTGGGATGAATCATTACTGTTTTATCAAAGGACCCCACATTCATGTGAGACTTTTAGGCATCATTTGGCAAGTGTTCCTTTTAGTTAAAAAGTCAAAAAGTAAAAAAATAAAAAAGTCAACAACCCATACCAAAAAGTCAAAGATTCCTTTTTCTTTCTACTTTTTGCACATCTTTTCGTAAAAAATCAAAAAGTCATTTCAAACATACTAGTTTTTTTTACATCATATTTTAACTAAACAATCAAAAAATTACTAAAAAAGTCTGTTCCAAAACAAAGCCTTAGTCATTTGTTTAGTAGATAATTTAAGATCTATAGCATTTTCTATAATTTTTACCTATTTTTATTAATTTCCATTATGATTATTTAATACTATTTATTACTATTAACAATTATGATGATGATATGAGAGTGATGATGGAGACTGGGGTTTTTCTTGGGGGCCAAGGCATATTTCTCAGTCATATGTCGTATGAGAGGTGTTTCTTTCCTCCACGTTGACATTTCACATTACTATATGTATTTATGTATGTATACATACAGGTGTATGGCTAGGCTGTGTGTCCATCTATCAGTGCTTGTGTGCACCTGCACTGCTGCACCACCCTGACCGTTGGGGTATGTGGATTGGAACTAAAGGGTGTGTTTGGTTTGATTTTGAGAGATAAATTTTTAAAAAGTATTTTGGAGAGAAAGTTTAGAAATTTTTTTGATTTGTTTGGTTGTATATTTTGAAAATAGTTTTGGAGTATGGGAGTTTGGGATGATTTGATGTTTTGTTGTAATTGAGTAGATGTGTATGAGAGAAAAAATGATTGAGAAGGAGAGATGAGAGAAAAAAAGTGATTGATTGATGTGTAGTAGAGAGAAAGTGTTTTTGGAATTTTTTTTTTCCAAAATCACTAAACTAAACAAAATTTTGAAAAATTTTCTCCAAAATTACTCTCCCAAAAACAAACCAAGCAAGGCCAAAGTGTTTCTTTTTTTTTTTTGTGCGCAGTTGCAACGCTACAAATTCATAAATTTGACTAGGGAATTTAGCGTGGAATAGAGATTTAGTGTAGATGTAAGTCTCATCATCCAAAAAGTTAAATCTATGTTACATATAAATAAAGGTATAAATTTGATCTGGCTTGACGCATTTGGGCTCAAGCTAAGGCCGATCCATGTCGGGCCGTGTGAGCTCTTGCAAAATTCAGGCCGGGCCACAAGTCATAAAAATTAGGTCCAGAGAGTATTTGGCCATCGGTCTGGACTAACGAGCCTATGACTGGGCTTGGGTTTGGATTGAGTCTGGACGGGTTTGAACATTTTTATGTTATTTTTCACACTAAAATTTTATTGTTTTCCACTAAAATGAAAAATGGGCATCGGGTCGGATTTGAGTGTGCCTTGAGTGGCGACGGGGTGGGTCTTGGACAAGGGCTACGAATTGGGCTAGGTTTCAAAATGACAGCCTAATCCCCAGCTCAGGGTCTCAAACCGAACTCGGGCCAATGACCACTCTGGGACGCAGGCCATTTTTAATCCCTTACATATAAGATTCTTGTTAAAATTATGGATTGAGATAATATGTCCTTAATTGATTTTTTTTCTTGCATAATAGGAAAATGATGCATAAGCGATATACAATCAATCTCCAAGTCATGGTTGGTGCAGTTTATTAGAACTAGAGTATATATATTTTTTCTTGAGATTGATTTTCTATTAATTTTTAATTTTTTTATAAAAAAATATGTATAAAAGTAGAAAAAAGAATTTAATAACTTGTCCCGATTTTTTAACTAAAAATATAAGTTTTCAAATGGAGCATAAATGCTATACATGGCGTTTAGTACTGTTGTTGCTTATAATTTATGGAGTACTTTGGGGTTGTCTTTGATGATTTAAATAGGTATATTTTTTAACTATTTATGAAAAGATGTGCAAAAAAATAAAGAAATGATATGACTCAAACAAATAAAAAAGTGTACTTATATAGTGTATCTCAAACCAAGCTAAGCTAAAAAAAATATTGGAAAGTGAAAAAAGACCTATTTTAAATTTTTTATTTTTTAATTGTCAAATTTTAACTTGGGAAGAGTTATATCAAATGAGCCCAATTGAGTTCGTTTGCTTGGGTTATTAGTGGTGATGGCGTAAGATTGGTTGAAAAAATAACAATGATTCATCCCACTAAAGTACAAGGTTCAAGTTAAGTAATAAATTTTTAACGTGTTGAATCTCAACTTATTTATCTTTTTAATTGATCTCCAGCGAACTTTAACATAATTTATCTACTTTTAATTATTTATGTAATTTTTTTCTAAAATCTCCGGCGTAAGATTGGTTGAAAAAAATAGTGGGATTGATAGCAAAATTGTACAAGGTTCAAGTTAAGTAATAAATTTTTAACGTGTTGAATCTCAACTTATTTATCTTTTTACCAAAACATCACATCATTCATGACGGGACCCACTGCCACCTAATTAGTGGGAGCACTAATTAGTGCTCCCAAGCATTTTTCGTTGAAAAAAATAGTGGGATTGATAGCAAAATTGTACAAGGTTCAAGTTAAGTAATTGAAAAAAATAGTGGGATTGATAGCAAAATTGTACAAGGTTCAAGTTAAGTAATAAATTTTTAACGTGTTGAATCTCAACTTATTTATCTTTTTAATTGATCTCCAGCGAACTTTAACATAATTTATCTACTTTTAATTATTTATGTAATTTTTTTCTAAAATCTCCCTTTCTTTGGGATTACAAAATATAATCATTTTTTTAAAAATAAAATAAAATAGAATCGAAAATTGGCAAAAACAAAGCAAAAGACAAAAACCCTTCACTATCCCTAGATGGAGTCACGGGAGAATAATATGACCCACCCACCCACATACAACCACTATTCAAGTCAAAACACTCAGAACTCACATAATTAAAGCCGTGTTTGGCAATTACTGTTAAAATATCAAAAAAATTAATATAAGAAAACAATTTATTTGTTTTAAATTTTTTACACATTTTTTAATTAAAAAAATAAAAAAATTACTAAAAAATTCAAATATAGGAAAGTGAAGAAAAAAGAAAAATAATAATAATTTTTATGTGTTTATTCAGAAAGAGAGTTGTAAAAAGTAATGAAAATTAAAATTTTTTATACAACTCAAATTAACTTATTAGTTAGACTAACAATTTCATACAAAACATATAAAAAAAATTTATGTTTTTCATAAATTTTGATAAGATTTATTTTATTTTTCTTTTTATTCATATTTCTCTCCACAACTCCTTATAATGCAATGATTATATTTTTTCCTATTATTTTGTTATGAAAATTTTCATCTAAATTTATTTTATTTTATTTTATTTCACTTCTTATTATTTTTATGTTTTTATCATTCGTTTTTTTATAAACAAACGGAGTGTAGTTAAAAAAATCAAGAAAATGAAAGAAAAATCAGAACCTTCTGATGTGAGATGCAAACAATGAAGCAAGAACACGTGGTTCACCAAAGCAGCAGAGCACAGCATAGCGAAAGCCTCACAAAAAGTAGGGTAAAACAAAAAGTTAGCGATGTTTGGACACGCGAAAATTAAACTCAGTCCTTCTCTCTCTCCTTCTCCCCAAGTTGCCTGGAAGCTCAGGGGTTGACGGCACACGCTGTAGGAGAAGAAGCCGGCCGCCTCCCTTTACTTTCTCTCTCCAAAACCCCTCTTTCTCTCTCTCTCTGATTATCATAGACCCATAAGCCGTTTTAGGTACTTCTCTTCTCACAACTCTCTTTCTGCTGTGTTTCAATTTGTTTTGTTTACTGGGTTTTTGTTATTCTGTTCTGGGTGTATTGTTGTATCTTGCGAATGATTGTGTTTTTTGGGTTTAGTTTGGTGATTTGGAATGTGGGTTTTGTTCTGTTTGTTGGGTTGTTGCTGTTTTGGTGAGCTGTTTCTGGTGAATGATTGTGTTTTTTTTTTGGGTTTAGTTTGGTGATTTTGAATGTGGGTTTTGTTGATTGTTGTTAGATAATCGTAAAGATTGATGCTTTAGTGAAAATGGAAGAACAAATTTGCAGGTCCAACTTGTGTATTGTTATTGATTTCTATATGGGGAAAAGGGGCTTTTTTTTTTTATGGATTGAGATGGGTATGAATGGATCAAGGTATTTGTATTAGTTTGGTATTGTCATAGTAATGGAAGTCAGTTTGGTTTGGTTTGGTTTGGTTTCCAAAATCTGTTTTCTGAATTTTTTTTTCTTTTTTTTTGAAAAAATATAGATACCAAAAGGATATTTTTGGCCCCCAAGAAGAAAACCATATGAAAATGGTGATTGTTTTTGAGTTTTTTTCACAGTTTTTAGTTTTTTTTTTTTTTTTTCTTTTTTCATTTGCTTTACCTTTGGGGGGGGGGGGGATTTTTCTCAAAATATATTTTGAAACGAAACCAAATAGAGCAAAGTGTTTTTGATTTTGTAAGTGAGACTGTTGCTTTAATTATATATATTTTTGCTTTATGATAAAAGAGATGTACTTCCAAAATGAAAAAAAAAAACCCCTAGAATTTTGTGGTTTTGATGTTTGTATGGGGAGTATTTTTGGAGAAGATGGTCTTGACAGCACAGTGATGTGAGAAGGGAATCTGAAACTTGTACAAAGTTGTGATTTCAAATTGTATTTGGATATACTTTTAATTTGGATAACCACAATGCAATGCACCTTCTTGACATAAATCTTTAGGCTGTGTTTGGTTCATGTATTTGGGTAAAGATTTGAAAAGAGAAAGAGAAAAAGTGGGTGAAATGTGAATGAAATATGGCTATCTTTCACATACTTTTTCCTTTTTCCTTTTCAAATTTCTACCCAAACTCATAATCCAAACATAGCCTTAAGTTATTTTACTAATTGTAATTTAAACCTGAAAGCAAACATAATTAGGTAACCTTCCTTTTATTGTTATTATTATTACTCCCTAAGCTGTGTAGTTGACATGGGTAAACAATAGAATTGTCCTCATTTGTCCAACTTGGAGTACTTTTTCTTGGATAGCGAAAGCAACTTGTGTAAATTGCAAAATGCTGACATTTGAGAATGTGACTGTCTTTTCATCATACAACTACATCACCCAGCCAATCACCTTCAAACCAGCACTGCTACCGTAATCAAATATACCACTTTCCTTGTAATGCCAGCATTTAGTGTCAAGTGTATACCACATCCATTTACAGTTAGAAACACCACAAACAATTATTCCAGTCACCATGACCACTGCTCTCCCTTAATAGATGCTATCAAGTGTTGTTTCATGATTAACTTTGTTGCCTTCATCAGCACCATCTTCAAACTTAGCTTCCTGCCTTTTTCCCCTCTTTCATGAAGACATTATTTTTACCTGGAATTTTTATTGGACACTCGTTTTAGCAAAGAGTAAAGAAATTAATAAAAGAGGCAACTCACAAATCGGTTAATTGTCTAGAGTGCATCAAAAATAATCCCCGTTTTCTGAATAAAATATCCCCCGTTTCAAGCCTTAGGAAATTCCTTGGAGCCATCTTACTTTAGTGTTTTTCTAATCAATTTAGACTAATTAGTTCAATGGACATAGATTGGTGAGATTTGTGCTACTCACTAACACATAAAATGTTGTTGTTGCCTTTGAAACTGCTTTTGAGAATTTAATAAAACTAGTGCAGTTTAAGGCTAAAGATGCCCCCAAGCTGTTGTCATGCGAGTTTGTTTAAAGTGTCGGGCACTGTGCAAATTGCCCCTGTCAAGTGGAGGAAGGGACTTTGTCAAAACATAATAAACTAGTCTTAGTCAAATCCGATTGACCATTGACCGAAAATCAAAATTATAAGTTGATTAAATGGCCAAATGTTATTGTAGACTAGTATTATTATGTCAAACGGCATTCTTGATAAGATATAGGATTCAATTCATGACTGTAAATATAATAATTAATGTAGAATTTTGATATTTTGAATGGAAATGTTAACATATAAGATGTCATAAAACAAATATTCAATACAAAAGGATTAGGAATAAGATAAGAAGATGGTTTTGAGGCAAGTGATTGGTATTCTTTAAAGAATGAATGAACTAATCTATAAAATTCTTAGTTAATAAATATATGAGATTGCATTCTTTTTGCAAAACTTGGGATATATAATTTATTGGGAATTTCAAGTTGTGTGTTATTTTCTGTTATGAGAACTCAAGGAAGAACTGCTGAAAATATGAGGAGAGGGGAAGGTGGGGAATAAGGTTACAGTGGTCTGATAATGGTATTTATTTGTGCTCAGTTGATGCTAAAAACAATGCATGCTGCTCAGTCACTGGAAGTTTCATTAGCTGGCATATCTGTGGATTGTTTATTGTTGGTAGGAGATTGTAAATTGGTATCATTGGCTGGAGACTGGAGAATGGAATCCAGTTAAACTACAGTTGGACAAAGTCTCTTGTCATGACTCTCATGAAAAAACTTTTACTGATTTGGGAAGTGTCACAGAAAAGGATTATTTGTCCTCGGGCTAATCAGTGTTTAAATATGGGCAACAAAATTCCATATGATTGTATTTCGTTGAAATTCTCCAAATCACACCCTTTTGGATTGCCTCCTTTTGCATGATTTTAGAAATTCATGATATTTTGAACTCGTGTGATTTGACCAAAAGAGCATCCCAAAGTCACCAAATCGTAGGATTCTCCGAACTCCACCATTAACATCACACCAAAAGAACATACCCTAGCAAAATCATTAAATACATAATTGTAGCTGCTTCAAAGAAATTGGAATATGCCTTTGGGGTGTGTGTATGTTTGTTCACATCCCCGTTCTTCTGGTTTTAGTATGGTTTTACACCGGCGTCATGTGTCTTTCAGGTAAAGAGAGGTGTGTAGCCTTTAATAGGAAATCTCAGGGCTGTAGCATTTTCTTCTTACTCGTTGTAGCTTAGAGAGACCACACAAGAAGATGTTGCCAAAATCAGGTATTCCATGGAAGAAACAAGAAATTTTCTAGAATTTAAATGCCTATTAGATTTTTCCTTGAATAACTGTAACCCTTGCAAGTTTCTTCCAATAATCTCCTATACTTATTCATGCTTAAAGGACGTTTTAGTCATGTTGCCTTTGGCTATAATTTTGATGTCTTTAATCATCAGATTTTGAGGGGCTAGGTAGTAAATAATGTTTCTTCTTTTGTCACTAGAAATGTCTCTAAAGAACTTTCAAATTACAAACGCCCCCTCGGGCTTGCATGCTGAGGAGTGTGCTTTGCTGATTTGTTGTGGTGAACCTCAGGAGTAGTTCAAATGTCTGAAGGTTGAAATTGTAATACACCGGTTAAAACTGTAATGTGTAGATTGCACCTATATTGCGTAGACTCATTTAACTGTAATTTATTGTGGTTTAATTGATGATCCTTGTCTTTCACCGCTGCCTTCTATGTGATGTATTTGTGTTCTCAAACATTTTGATGGGTTTCCAAGTGTGCCCTAAATAAATTATTTGTAGAACACCCACCATTTGTTGTGTCATACATTATTTATTAGACTATATAGAATGTTTTGTATGTTTTTTGTTCTATTTTGCATGTTCAGTAATTTTCTATGTTGAGGTGGTCATATATCCTCGATCATTTTGTTTCCTCCAATCTATCCACCAACTACCCACACTAGTTTCTCTCTTTCATTTTGCAAATTGACAATAATTTTTTGTAAGGAAAAATTCTTTTTGTGTCATATGTTAGTTTTTGTTTCGTGCTTGGAGTGAAATGACAAATTTATGGTGATATTCACGTTTTGAAAACCATTAAAACTTGTTAACAGAAAAGGTGACTGATTTCTTTTACTTTTTGTTTTTCCATTGAATTTTATATGCAGATTATGTTACGAACAAAGCACCTCGGGACCCTTTCCCAATCTGCTAGGTCTTTCTTCTTCAGTGGGTCCCGATGCAATGCAGCAGATGGAAGTAGTTCATGCACTTGTACTGAAGACGAAACTTGTGTTTCAAGAAAGCAGAATCCTAGAAATGAAGTGCAACATGGACCAGCACCGCCCACCTTAGCATCCAAAACTTCGGCAAGAGCTGGCTCTTTGATCTCTGGAGATGCTGTTAAAGTGGTGAATTCTCATAAACCCGGGAGTGTCAAACACCCCGCTTCTCTACCACAAGTCATATCTGCCACCAGTTCTTTGGGGAGATCGGATTGTGTCAGTTATGCTAGTAGCATCGATACCGTTCAAAATGGCTCGGTTCATTCATCATCACCTCCGATTTCAGACCAATTTGTTAAGGTAGGCATTGCGGCAGTAAGTTTTTTGTCGGATTTAGTTAATTACAAAATTCCTACTTCCGATGGGAGCGGAATGCTTAGTTCATCCAAGAATTCAATGGTCGATAGTACAAGACCCGTTTCAAACATCAAATCTGCGAATGTGAAAACATACAAAAAGGACAAAGTCCATGGAAAACCATCTGCTCAGTCTGCACCTGGTTCAAACCCAACAATAGTTAACTCTCATGGTGCAAAGGGTAGAGGTGAAAAACCTGGTTCAGCTACAGGTTCCAATACCGTTCCAAACAATGGACCCAGGAATTCAGTAGAAACCCATGGTGTATCTTCGGATTCCCGTGATAGTAGAAGGGTTTTGCCTCAGAGATCAAATGGCCATTCAATCCGTGCCTTGTCGACTGCACAAACTTCTGAAGGAAAGTTTAGGGGGGAAACTGCAAAAATACCTACCGGAGTTGCTCCAATGGCTAGACAGTTTTCAAGCACCGGGCATGTGGTGGAAACGGTTTCTCGGATTTTGAGACAGTTGAAATGGGGCCCAGCAACTGAAGAGGCTCTGAGAAAGCTCAACTGTTCAATGGACGTGTATCAAGCAAACCAAGTCCTTAAGCAGCTTCAAGATTATTCGATTGCTCTTGGGTTTTTCTATTGGTTGAAACGACGAACCGGGTTCAAGCATGATGGGCATACTTACACCACCATGATCGGCATCCTTGGCCGTGCTCGCCAATTCGGCACAATAAACAAGTTGCTTGACCAGATGATTCGTGATGGTTGTCAACCCAATGTCGTGACGTATAACCGTCTCATTCACAGTTACGGACGCGCGAACTATTTGAACGAAGCGGTCAATGTTTTCAAGCAAATGCAAGAATTGGGGTGTGAACCTGACCGTGTCACCTATTGTACGCTCATCGACATCCATGCAAAAGCTGGGTATCTTGATTTTGCTATGTATATGTATCAGAGGATGCAAGAGGCCGGTCTCTCTCCCGACACGTTCACTTATAGCGTCATCATCAATTGTCTTGGCAAAGCTGGCCATTTGAATGCTGCCCAGAAACTTTTCTCTGAAATGGTAAATCAGGGCTGTGAACCAAACTTAGTGACGTATAATATCATGATTGCTTTGCACGCGAAAGCGAGAAACTATTCGAATGCGTTAGAGCTTTATCATCAGATGCAGAATGCGGGATTTGAACCTGACAACGTGACTTACAGCATAGTAATGGAGGTGCTCGGTCATTGCGGGTATCTCGAAGAGGCCGAAGCGGTTTATGCGGAGATGAAGCAAAAAAACTGGGTACCCGATGAACCGGTTTATGGTCTCCTGGTCGATCTTTGGGGCAAAGCCGGGAATGCCCAAAAGGCTTGGGGTTGGTACCAAGCGATGCTCGATGCGGGTTTGTGCCCCAACATTCCAACCTGTAATTCCCTTCTCAGCGCTTTTCTTCGGGTCCATCAGCTATCTGACGCATACAATTTGCTGCAGAGTATGCTTAGTTTGGGCCTAAACCCGTCTCTTCAGACCTACACTTTACTTCTCAGTTGCTGTACAGAGGCTCAAACGTCTTTCGACATGGGTTTTTGCTGCGAGCTCATGGCCACAACAGGGCACCCAGCCCACACATTTCTACTGTCAATGCCATCGTCTGGACCAGATGGGCAGAACGTGCGTGATCACGTGAGTACTTTCTTGGACCTAATGCACAGCGAAGATAGAGAAAGCAAGAGAGGACTCGTCGATGCAGTGGTTGATTTTCTCCACAAGACCGGGCTCAAGGAGGAGGCAGGGTCTGTTTGGGAGGTTGCTGCGGAAAAGAATGTGTACCCAGATGCAGTGAAGTGTAAAAGCTCATGTTACTGGCTCATAAACCTCCACGTCATGTCAGATGGAACTGCTGTGACCGCGCTTTCAAGGACGCTTGCTTGGTTCCGGAGACAGATGCTTGTGTCGGGGACTTGTCCAAGCCGGATTGATATTGTGACGGGATGGGGCCGGCGGAGCAGGGTGACGGGTGCATCGTTGGTGAGGGAGGCGGTGGAGAATCTGCTGCATAGTTTCAGCTTTCCATTCTTCACTGAGAACAACAATACCGGTTGTTTCGTGGGCTATGGAGAGCCTCTTAGTAGGTGGTTGATTCAATCTTATGTTGATAGAATGCATTTACTGTAAGTTCTTGATTTCCTTGGACAAGGGTTTTGTATGGTGTAGAGAGCAGTTTTGTAGTGCGAAATGAACTCAGCTTTTATGCATTAGGTTGTAATTTATTTATGGCAGCTATGCTAAATTCAATCAATCTGTTTTCATGTCTTTTGGAGGGCAGTTTTACTATTTACACAGAAATCGATTATAGAATTAGATACAATTCTCTTAGGTCCCGTTTGTTTTTAGAGATAGAATGGAGGGAATTCATAATGAGGAGATTAATAATGAGGGGGTTGTTAGTGAGGAAACTAAGTAAAATTATATTTGTTTTGATGATAGTTATTAATGTAGGAATTATTAAATTATTTTTATATAAAATAATAAAATAAATAAAAAAATATAAAAAATTAAATATTAATGTTTAAAAAAAAATTTCCAGTATGTAAAAAATAAAGAAGATAAAAAAATTTATAATCTCCTCACTATTTTTCTAATACCACCTCCACTTCCTCCATCACAATCCTCCCTCCTACTTCTATCTTAATCCCCTCCTCCATCTTAATTCATTTTTCAATTCTATAAACAAATACAATACTAAATAACCACACATCTATTCTAATCCTCTCTCATCCATTGACGGGGCCTTACATGGATATGGAAGATCCACCTCCCGTGAAATAGTTGTATCCAATTGTGATCAGTTTGTGTTGATTCATGAGAGAATGCATTAATTGTAAGTTTTTTATGGTTCCTGGACATGGTTCTGTAATATATTTTTGATGGTTTTGTAATTTATTTTTGAACAGCTATACTAAATTCAATCAATCTTTTTCATAGTCTTTTTGAGGGAGTGCTTTGTACACACACCATTGAGGGTTTGTGTCTATTAGTGGTTTTCAATCTTTTCAAAGCTTCGTATGTATCATAACTTTCTTTTTCTCGTTTTTGTTTTGGGTCCATACATTAGGGTACAAAATAATTAGGGTAAAATTAATGAAGAAATTATAGCTAATTTATAGTTTTGATGATATTATATTGGCCTACATTATAATAATAACCCTTTTAATGGGTAACTCTATTTACATTACAAAAACAACTCATTATATATCATATTGTTTAATTTTTTTATTAATTTTTTTGTTACAATTTGATTCCTATCTAAAATTTTCAAAAGTTATTTAATCTTAACAATTCAAAAATTCTAATTTCTTCATATATCCATTATCTCCACCAAACAACCACTATTGCTGCCATCTCCATCCCCTTTTCTACCTTGCGCCCAACCATTGCTCAACCCTACATTTATCACTCAATCCTTTTTTTTTTTTTTTTCTTTTTTTTCCCCCTCAATCCTTTTCCTTTTTTTTTTTCTCTTTGCTTGCATGCACACGTAGAGAGAGGGAAGGGGATCTCAATGGTGGGCAATGTTGGAGGAAGTTTGAGGTAGGAAGAAGTTTCTCAAGAGTCGGGGAAGGTTGAGGTAAGGGGTTATTGTATGGTAGTTACAGAGTGCAAGAGAGTTATAATAAGTAGAGAGAGTGCGTGGTTAGTGGTTAGAAGTGGCTATTAGAGATGGTATTTGGATCGGGTAGAGTTAGAATTAAAATAATTGTAAAAATGATGGTATGTTTGGAATTAGATAAAATAAAATTTTTAAAAAAACATAATTAAAAAGCTATATAAAAAATTGCGGTGTAAATAAAATCACTCTATGTTAATGGCATGAAGGTGATTAAATTATTACATTACTCGCAAATATTTACTACTTTAATACGTAGTTAATTAAATGACACATTTACTTTCTATATCTTACTTAGGAATTGCTCAATTATATTTTTTGTTCTAACACGGTGTATTATTAAAAAATAAATGTTAACAAGTGTTTTTAAACATTATTTAATGTTATAAAAGGTGTAAAATAAATCTTGAAAATATGTTTAAAATGTATGTTAATTTTAATAAAAGTGTATTAAAAACTTTCTTGTACTCATTAGCAAGATCGTTATTATCATTTTTCACCTGTTCATGAGGCCTAAGTCAAATGTAAGGGCTGAGGAAAGTTCGCTTAACATGTAAAGCTCGCTATAGTAGTGTGAGTAGATTTTACTTTATTAAAAATAATTAACTTTTTTTTTTTTTTAATAAATAAAAAGGAAAAAAAAAGTCATAAAGCACATTATTGGTGTATCATTGTACTCTTTGATATGATATGAAATAAATGGCTGTCAACTTTGCCAAAAATAAAAAGCTGTTAAATAATATTTTAATGTTTAATTTAGTGAAATAATTTATAAATAAATAAAAATATAAGTAAATTAAGTAGAAGATATTTTTTTTGGGGTAGTGTTATTCTCAATCCTGTCAGTCCCCTTTTAATCAATTAGAATCTTCTTATTTTTAATTTTTTTAATTTTTAAGATAGTTATAACAAAATTATTTATACCTTTGTTGGATACTAAATTGTATCATTTCTTAAGACATTCACAATGAGATGGTTAAAAAAATGTATTAAAGTGTGTTATATAACAAAAAGTAATAGAAGTGGGGTTAAAAAATATTTGTTAAGATGTGTTAAGAGTTTGTTTATTTTAGAGAGTGAGTAGTGGTGCAATGGATGTGTTAAGGCGTGTGTTAAATATATATATATATGTGTATATATAATAAATAAAATAAATAAATAATTTAGTTTAATAAAAAATTTCAAGTCCAAAATTAAATTTCAAGTCCAAAAAAAAATCCCAATAAGTATAAAAAAAAAAAAAAAAATTTGCCGTTGACCAGTCAACCGGCCGAACGTCCGGCCAGTCAACCCGTAAGACCAAAAACACGCCCCCTTCGCTAGCTAAAACCATCGCTGCAGATAACAAACAAGTTAACACACACCACTAACACACATGTTAACCCATCCACTGGAGCACCAAACAATACCTTCAGCTAGCCAAAAGTTGGCACTTGACACTAACACACAACTTAGTGTGTCCATTGTGGATGCACTTATACCTTTGAAACGTAATTCATTTCTTTCATCTCTTAAGATAAATAATTTTGCCATTGGTATAAAAATTACATACTGAGAACAAAATATGGAGTGTACTGAGTTATAAAATTAGATTTGAATATAGACCCTATTTGGTAGGGCTTATTTTCAACTTATTTCAGTTTTTAGCTTAATTTAAGCTATTTTGATGTGTTTGGTTCAGTTTAACAATACAACTTATAGTTTTTTGTAAGTCAAAAATCAACTTATTCTTTGAGTGGGGGATGAGAAGCTTAATTTATAAGTCAAAAATCAACTTATGTTCACAGTTATAAGTTATAAGCTATTAAATTATAAGGTATAATTATTTTCTCACAGTTCTACCAAATGAGGCCATAGTCCACTCGGTTGGTATGAGCTCCCTCCATCCACTCACTAATTTTTACCAAAAAAATACCAAGTAACCTAATTTCACAAAATTTTAAATTCCCATACAAAGATAACCTTGAGAAGCAATTCATCAAAGTGTAAGTATAATTATTTCTATATTAAAAAAAATATTGAAAGTTTGATTATGGTACAAAATTCACAGGCTTCAAAATTTTCAAACATTGTCTTACTGTTAAAGCTATATCTGAATTTTAGATATGTTAAGACAGAGGAGTAGAAGTTTAAAAAAAATAAAAGGATGACTTGAGATTAGATTCCTTATCTTGTTCGATAAAGTTGAGAGAGAGAGAGAGAGAGAGAGAGAGAGAGAGAGAATAATGGGTTTTTTTTTTCAAAAATAATTATTTTAGTTACTTATAGAAAATATTGATGGTTTATGCCCTAGTAGGGGCTCTTTATTAGTTGTTTATGATTTTTTATTTCTCATTATGAAACTTATTTTTTTAGATTATGTTGTGATTATTGGTGTTGAGTCTGTGAGTACATATTGTTAGAATTTCTTATATAGTTAATTATTTAGTTTGATATAATTTACTACATATTTGTTAATAATTCAAATCGGTTGACAAAATAGATTGTAAGCAATTGAATTGAACTGACAAATAAAAAATTAAAACTCAACACAAACGATTCAAATATAAAATTACCACACTAAGTTATAAATTCTTATTTATAGTTTGAAGTGAGATACCGTCATATTTTGGTGTTGATACATTTTATTTGGAGTTTATACATGTTTTATAAGTTAAAAATACATTTTATAATTCTAAATAAAATTAAAATTGAATGATCTAACCATTGCATCATTATCAAGTAAGTATACCCAAAACTCTCAAATTTCTTTTAGGCAACTCTATAATAATGTTTCTCTCTCTTTTTTATTTTTATTTTTATTTTAATCATTTGAACCAAAATTTGTCTTTTGATTTATTTCATCTAGTCCATAATTAAAACAGGAGAGAATATATGTTACACTATGATTTTAAATATTCGTATTTAAAGAAATAATAGATCTATTTACTTTATTAATAAGCAAGTAAGATTTAGTTCGTCATAAGTGATTAATTTGAAGAAAGAAAAATAGATAAACATGGTGAAGATTGGCAATGAGCAGGATCCATTATAGTGTACTTTTTTTAATCTCTTTAAAACTAAAGATATTTGGACCAACAAGTATGGAGATTTATAACAATAGTTACTAATTTTATTCATAATTTTCATGATAAGTAATTTTTGTTATTGACATTTTTATTTACATATAATTTAAGAAAAAAAAAGAGAGAGTTTTACAACAATTCTATATACATTGAATTCAAATATAGAAAGTATCGTATGACAATTTTTTAAGATTTTTTTTGAAGCTGTGCCCCGGTTTACTTACTCAATATAAAGGATCGATCAATTTGTCAAGTAATATAGTTTTGAGAAGATTTTCATGATTTTTTTTTGTGAAATCTAACATTGTTGTAGAAAAATATTGACAATTGACAAAGGGATGCCCACAAGTTTTTGTCTTACATTTAGGCCTCGTTTGGCAAGAGGCTATTTTAGCCAATTAGTCAAAAAATTACTAAATTAGCCAAAAAGCTAACAACCCATACCAAAAAGTCAAAGATTCTCTTTTCTCTCTACTTTTTGCACATCTTTTCGTAATTAGCTAAAAAGTCATCCCAAACCTACAAGTTTTTTTTACCTACATTTTTAGCCAAATAGTCAAAAAGTTACTAAATTAGTCTGTTCCCAAATGAGGCCTAGTGCTGTTTTGGGAAGTTTCGAAAAACACAGCGTTTTGATCCAAGGTCTGAAAACGCAAGTGGCCAAAAACACAACAAAATTCATTTGGGAAGCCATAAAAACACAAGTGTGAAATTACAAATTGGGACTTATGACAAAAAAAATAAAAAAAGTAAATTTCTTATGGTGGGTAAGGGTATTTTGGTCATTTTAATTTGATTTGACACTATAAACAAATATTAAACCAAAAAGTCAAAAGTCAATTTTTTACCAACTTCCCAAATCACTTTCTAAAAAGTTAAAAAGCTTGGTAAAAAACGAAAAGTCAGCTTTTTACTAACTTCCCAAAACACTCATTATTTTTTTTTTTTTAAAAAAGCAATGCAATAAAATCTCTTAAATTATCTCACACTGCTATTTTAAAAAGATGGTTAAAAGTCATGTTGCCTCTGTTTGGCAAGATGGTTTTCAGGCTTTTTTGGCTATTTTAGCCACAAAAAACAAAATAGGCTATTTTAGCCATAACAAACAAAAATCACATCCAACTTATAATCATTACATTCTTCTCTCACAAAAAAAGTCAAAAAGCCAAAAAATCAAAAAGCCCTTCTCAAACCAAGCTTTTTAGCCCAGGCTAAAATAGCCAAAAAAGCCAAAAAGCCAAAAAGCCAACCTCCTTCCCAAACCAAGCCGTTCTAACTTTTAACTCATTTTGAATCACATTATTTTTAACATTTTTTTACATTTTTTTTTTCAAAAAAAGTTAAAAAGTCAATTTTAACCATTTTGTCAAAACACATTTTCACATCTAACTAAAAAGTCAAATTTTTTCAAATTATTTTATTTATTTTCAGTGATTTTTTTTTTTAAATTACATAAATTTTTTATTTATTTTTCATGTAACCGAACAAAGTAATTTTTTTTAAAAAAATTTCAAAAAAATAAAAGGGCAACTGTTTATTATTATTTTTGGATCTTTTTATTAGATTTTCCTTTCAATTTTTTTTCTCCATCCGTTCAATAAAATCCAATAAATAAATAAATATTTTGTAAAAAATCACTAAAAAAATTATTAAAAAATCTAATTCCAAGTAAAAAGAAAATCAAAGGGATTAGGCCATATTTATTGAATTATTTGTCTCTATTAACCCCTTTTCTCATCTCTCTCTCTCTCTCTCCAAACTCACACATTGAATTATTTGTCTCTATTAACCCCTTTTCTCATCTCTCTCTCCAAACTCACACAGAGCAGGGTACAAACCAAACCTCACCACTTCCCACCTGTGGTTAGGTGTGTATACATATAGAGAGATAGAAAACCAATACAGAGAGAGAAGATAGAGAGAGAGAGAGAGAGCGACACACACAGTCTCTCTCTGTATATATATACATACATATATATCGCCGCCGACCGATCGATCAATCGTCTCCGACACCATCTCCGGCGTCTCCGTTTCTCTCTCCTCCAGATTCAAACTCAACCCTCGCATTTTCTCTCTCTAGAATCGATTGGTCCCAAAGTAAGTCTCTTTGTACTCTCTCTCTATATATGCATGAAAATTGTATTGCTGTAGAATAATAGATGGGGCATAAGAAGCGAAACGTCGCTCCTTCTCGCTCCTCCAAAGCATCGGGTGCTCCTCCGCCGTCGCCGGTGGTTTCCAACGGCGGCGGCGGCGGTGGCTCAGTCTCCGATGGTGTTGTGAGTTCAGTCGAGACCGAGCAAAACAACACGAATTCGAATTCATCGATTGAGATACAACAACAACAACAACAACAACAACAGCAGCAGCAGCAGAGTAAGATCGAAGCGTCTGTTGTTGAATCGGACGCTTCGCCTTACACTGGAGTCAAGCTCGAATGCGAGCGAGCTCTCACGGCACTCCGCCGAGGGAACCATACGAAAGCCCTAAGGCTTATGAAGGAGATGTGTCTTAAACATGAAAACTCGGCTCACTCGGCTTTGATTCACCGAGTTCAAGGGACTGTCTGTGTTAAGGTTGCTTCGATAATCGATGATCCCAATGCGAAACAGCGGCATTTGAAGAATGCAATTGAGTCTGCTAGGAAAGCTGCTGTGTCTTCCCCCAACTCTATTGAGTTTGCGCATTTTTACGCCAATTTGTTGTATGAAGCGGCCAATGATGGGAAGGAGTATGAAGAGGTGGTGCAGGAGTGCGAAAGGGCGTTGGCGATTGAGAATCCAGTTGATCCGGCGAAGGAAAGCTTGCAGGATGAGAGCCAGCAGAAGATTTTGACAGCTGATGCACGGATTGCTCATGTGCAGAATGAGCTTCGGTCGTTAATTCAAAAATCGAATATAGCTTCTATTTCAACTTGGATGAAGAATCTTGGAAATGGGGAAGAGAAATTTCGGTTAATTCCTATAAGGAGGGTTTCGGAGGACCCAATGGAGGTCAGGTTGGTGCAAGCAAGACGGCCAAATGAGATCAAGAAAGCAACTAAGACGCCGGAAGAAAGAAGGAAAGAGATTGAAGTTCGGGTGGCTGCTGCGAGGCTGTTGCAGCAGAAGTCAGAGGCAACCCAATCACAAAATGATGAAAATAAGGCTTTAGATTCATCATCCGGGTCTGGTCAGAAAGCGGCTGAGCGACGGAAGTCTGGAAATCTGAGGAAGAATGCATCATCTGCAGAGAGAAGGGACTGGGTCCGCTCATATTGGAATTCCATGAGTTTGGATATGAAGAAAGACTTGATCAGAATTAGGATTTCAGAACTTAAGGTCCATTTCAGTTCCTCAAAGGATAATTTGGCGAATGAAGTCCTATCCGAAGCTATATCCTTCACTGAAGGCAACAGAACATGGAAATTCTGGATGTGCTGCCGTTGCAGTGAGAAATTTGCCGACTCTGAATCTCACATGCAGCATGTTTTGCAAGAGCACATGGGGAATCTCTTACCCAAAATGCAGTCGATTTTGCCTCAAAATGTTGACAATGAATGGATTGAGATGCTTCTTAACTGTTCATGGAAACCATTAGATGTCAATGCTTCAATTAAAATGCTTGAAAACCAGTTGAAACCCCAAGCGCCTGAGCTTGGTGAATCATACCAAAGGAATTATGCAGAGGAGTGTAAGGACTGCCTGACTAACAATGATTGCTCCGAAGATGCATGGGACTTGTCCCCTCAAAGGGAGAAATTCGGGGATAGTTGTAATGGTGATATTGTGGATTGCAAAAGCTTTGACAAGGTTTCTGATATTAGGTGGAGAGAATGTGATGTGAGTCATGGTGGTAAGGCATATTTTCTTCCCGATAGCTGGCCATTGTCTGATGATTCTGAGCGTGCAAAGCTCCTTGAGAAAATCCATGCCACTTTCCAGGTGCTTATTAGGCATAAATACCTTGCTGCAAGTCATGTTCACAAGGTTATACAATATTCCATGGATGAGCTGCAGGGTATTGCTTCTGGTTCTCAGCTTCTCAACTATGGTGTTGAACAAACACCTATATGCATCTGCTTTTTGGGAGCTTCTGAGCTTAAGAAAGTCCTAAAATACTTGCAGGAGTTATCTCATTCTTGTGGCATAGGTAGATATTCTGAGAAAAGTAGTGCCATTGACGATTCCAACACTGGCACTCAAGGGGCTGAAATCATGGAGAAGATAGTCCTCACTGAAGATGCATCCTGTCTCCTTTTGGATGAGCATTTCTTGCCTTGCAATCTTACTTCCACCATCTGCCATGAAGTTGTTGCAGATGATGCAGCTGCACCAACTTCCACTAATGTTGGCTGTGAAAATTCAGTTATACTTGATGCCGATGCTTTGTTGTCCTGGATATTCACAGGTCCTACAGCTGGGGAACAATTGGCTTTGTGGACAAGGATAAGAGAAGAGAAATCACATCAAGGGATGGAAATTCTCCAAACGCTTGAGAAGGATTTTTACCATCTACAGAGCATGTATGAGAGAAAATGTGAGCACTTGAGCTATGAGGAAGCATTGCAGTCAGTGGAGGATCTTTGTCTCGAAGAAGGAAAGAAAAGGGAGCATGTCACAGAATTTGTTCGTCGAAGTTACGAGTCTGTCTTAAGAAAGCGGCGAGAAGAGCTTATTGAAAGTGACAATGACATTATGTTTATTAGCAACAGGTTTGAGTTGGATGCAATATCACATGTTCTGAAAGAAGCAGAAAGTCTGAATGCCAATCAGTTAGGATTTGAGGAAACTTATAGTGGTGTGACTAATCAACTATGTGACTTGGAATCTGGTGAAGATGATGATTGGAGAATGAAGGACTATCTGCATCAGGTGGACTCTTGCATAGAAGTCGCAATCCAGAGGCAGAAAGAACAGTTGGCCACAGAGGTTTGTTATGTTTAGTTCTAGATGTTCTTTTAATAACCCCCTCCACTCCTAAAAAAAAAAGAAAAAAAGAAAAGTAAAAAAAGAAGAGATCATGTGACACATTCTTGCTGCATTATCTCACTTGTTCAGTCATGCAGCTCAGCAAACTTGATGCGAAAATGATGCGGAATCTTACTGGGATGCAGCAGATGGAAGCTAAACTTGATCCAGTATCAGCTTTTGATTATCGGTCAATACTAGTACCTCTTGTGAAGTCTTTTATGCGGGTCTGTATCTTCCCTTTTTAAATGTTCCTGATAATTTCTAGATGCTTTATTTATTTTTTGGATAAAGACTTGTGGACTTGACTTTGTGATTTCTGGTGTGAATCTTTCCTTTCCAGGCACGATTAGAGGATCTGGCTGAAAAAGATGCCACTGAGAAGTCTGATGCTGCAAGAGAAGCATTTTTAGCAGAACTTGCACTCGACTCCAAAAAAGGCACTGGTGGGGGGAGTGATAATTCGAGAAATGTACAAGAGAAGATGAGGGATAAGAAAAAGAACAAGGAAAACAGAAAAACCAAGGATTTGAAGGTTAGAATTGTGTGGCCGGGCATTTTTCTTTCTTCTTCATTTTCCTTTTTGTTTTGTTTTGTTTTGTTTTGTTTTGTTTTTTTTTATTTATATTTTTTTTATGTTGTTTTGTTTCTATGAATTGATAGTGTAAGCACAAAATGCAGGATCTAGGGCTAATAATTTCTTGCTTTTGCAGGCTACTGGTACTGATGAGCTTGTTCTTCACCATGAGACTACAGAACAGGGGTTCGCTTCTCTTACTACCTTAATGCACCTCACTTGCAATTTTCCAAGACATCTCTATTATGAATGTGGAAGTTGGCATAGTTTATTTTTTAATGTTTAACAAATGTCTGTCATGTTGCAGCTCCTTTCCAGTTGCATCCGATGTAGACTATCCAGATTCTGAAATTGTTTTGTCTGTAAGTGGTGATGCCTTAAAACAGCAGGAAGAGGAGATTAGACGTAGGATTGAACTTGAAGCAGAGGAAAGAAAGCTTGAAGAAACTCTGGAGTATCAGAGACGAATTGAAGAGGAGGCTAAACAGAAGCACCTTGCTGAACAAAATAAGAAACCTACAACAACAATTCCAGACAAGCACAGCGATGATGATCAAGATAGGCACGCGCAATTGAAACATTGTAAGAAGGTGAGCATTCTTGTACTGAGGTTCTTTTCTTTAGTTGGAGTGGTTCAGAAGTTGGTTGTTCCTGTTCTCAAGTTATATTTCTATTGATTATTAGAATTTTGAATTAATTAACCTGATAAATGTCCTGAGAAAACTGTGTGGCTGCTGAATTTTTGGGTCATGATAATTCCATTTAGATATCGAGGGAAACTTACGTATTTGCAAATATCTAGGAACCTTTGACCCAGCAAAATGGATTCCCAAATGTTTTAGAAGGTGCTCTGGTGAATGCTGCTGATAGATCTGTGCAAAGGATTGGTAATACTCACAGTCACCTTCATACATATGTTAAGCAAGGTTAGCAGTTATTTCACAAGCTCCCAGAGTTTGGTGGGGCAAACATAATTATTGCAAGATGTTGCCATCAATCATTTTCTTGTGCAGGCTTACCTAATGGAGGAATTTCGGAGGATGGTGCTTTGTCTTCTGATCGGCGGACAGGAAGGAAAGGTAGACGTCAGAGGAGTTCCTCTAAGTTGGTTGATGCAAAGTATCAAGCTGTATCATCTGAGAAGGAAAATATTGAAGCTGGACAAGTTAGAGTTAAGGATGGTCCGCATGGTGACAGCAGTAAGTTCTCAGATTTTTGCTGTAAAATCATCTTGTTTTTTAACTGTAATTGTTCTTGATTTAGTATATGGCTGTCCAAAAGGGTGTAAGGGTGCACAAGGAAAAAGAAGAAAGAAAAGAATGCAAGGTTCCACTCCCAGAAAGTTTGTATTTAGTCTTGAAATCAGTAGGGATAAACAGCAAACCTTGATAGTTCCCGTCAGTTCTAAGTGCTTGGAATGTGAGGCAGAACATTATGTCAAAGTTGTTGCCTGTTGATATAAACCACATCTTATGAACATGATAAATGTACTCTGGAGAGTTTGATGATAACTCCACTTGTGTCTTGCTTAGAGTATTATCTTTTACACAGCCCTCCCAAGCTCAGAGAAAGGAGAAGGGTTGATATTGGTAAAGGGCAAATGTGGACGTATAATCATAGCTTATGTACATGAATTCTGATCTGTCCATGGTTTAATTTAGGACACAACTCTAGATGAGATGAATGAAATACGATTCATGTGTCCAACCATGTGGTTGGGTTAAGGACTTCTTGAATTTGAGTTGAGGCCTGTTAGATGATATTCTCTGTATGGTATAGTGCACTATTATGTGGACAGGTCTCACGGTATTTTAAATAGATGGAAAAGTTCATTTAGTTTGTATAACTTGCAGAGCTCAAAAAAACCAGTATCATCATGGTTTGATTTTAGTGAAATTTAGTAATTTTTGTATAGAAGAGATCATCATTAATATAATCAAATATCAATAGTCATTTAGCACTTTTAGACAATCAGAATATCACTACCGGTTTTACCTGTTATGTTCTTATATATTTGAATGCACGTATTATCTTTCCATGCTTGGAGTCGACTGTCTATGTTTTAACATTTTTGTTTTGTTTTTAGTATGCGTTTTTGCAATGTTCTACTTTGCATTAAAAGTTGTTATTTGGAAAGGGTTGCTTGATGATGTCATCTGTACCAGTTATCACTTACATTAGTTTTTTTCAGTTATTACTTAGATTAGTTTTTTCAAAAAAAAAAAAAAAAAGGAAAGAAAAGATGTGTATATTGATCCTTTTTGTGGAGTAAGGAACTAATATGTCAAGGGTTACTTTGGTTAATTAGATAATCCTTGTGTGGGTGACAATGGAACAAAGACGTTAAGACAGTTACGAGCGGAGGAGGATGATGAAGAAAGGTTCCAAGCTGACATTAAAAAAGCTGTACGCCAAAGCCTTGGTAAATCTTCTGTTAGCTATTCCTGTATATGTCACTTTAGTGTAATATTTATGTCAAATATCTTTATATCTGCCATATGATCGCCAGCTGTTAGGTTGAGTGGTACTTTCTAGCACCTCCAGGGTTCAAGCCTCATTTGCGACTTGCATATTTTTTTCTTATTTGGAATATATATCTTCTGAAAGAATTCAATACAACTGAATTAATCATTTCAATTTGATGTTCTTTTGCTCTTTGTATTGCCATCTATCTATCTATATTTATTATAAAAAGTTTTTTTCTTCTCCCTGTTTTAAGAAACAATATAACACACTCTACAAGTAGAATTCTTTTTATCTATTTTTGGAACTATAATGCACTTTCCTTGTATAGGATGAGAAACACCATAAAATGCTTTATAAAGGATATACAATTCGGCTTCTGCCTTTTCTTCCGTGACTCACAGCTAGCTTGGAAGAGCAAGAAAGAGACAGTGGTTGCTCGCTCTAGTGCATAAGCCGAGTACAAGGCTTGAGTTTTAAATGTCATAATATCTGCCTCTATAGATTTTTGAAATCATGTTTGAGCTTTGATCCTCAACTTTAGGTGATCGATGGTGTTACATGCACCAATTAATGTATACACTAGTGTACCAACTAGTTTTATGTCATTATTACCGACCCCACCTATTATACAAATTACAAATACCCAAAACTTTTAAAATTATGCCACATCATCTATTAGTATACTAGTTAGTACATTAATTGGTACATATAGCATTATTCTTAGGTGATGGATCCAGATATAGTGATATAATCTTCGTTTTAACCTATGGGGAAAGTGTTTCTTGATGCATATGCTGCGTAATTTGCAATTGGTGAAAGGTAGTTAGACACAAAAGTAGCTATTGGAAACAATTATACCATAACTTTGGAGCTTATGTTTGGGCATTCTTTGAAAGCAAGCACCATGTATTTGCATTGGATTGTGAAATAATATCTGTAGAGTCAATCCAGATAGGTGACATTTGTCGCACCAGATTTTTCTCACAAACAATTAAAAATGAAAATCAGTTTGCGATAACATTCTGTTTCGTTAAAATGATGAAAATGACGAGGATAGATTTATGATAATGTTTAATGGAATGCGTTGCATTTTCAAGAGGTTTCAGTAATTTCAAGTTTTTGGCTTTGTTCTAATGAAGTCTTAGTTCCTGCACTAATTTAATGAGTTCAAATCAATAAATGTTTAAGGAGCATCCGGGCAATGGGGAGGTTTCTTAGATGTTGTAATTACTGGTAGAACATTAATAAGTGAAGAGTGATGAAAGATAAAAGCTAAAGGAATATGATGCTTGCATTTCTGTTGGTTTACTTAGCATACGACTTTCCAACATCTAGATTAAAAAATAAAGGAATCTTCCTAAAAGACCAAGACCAAAATCCAAAATGAAGCCATATAACAAATTGTCCTCCATACGCTCTATAGCTCAAATTTTTCCTCAAAAACTCATGCATTCCTTTCTAAGCCAAATAACCCAAGAAGTCATACACATTACATAGGGGTGCAACTTGGGCGGACCCAATCTAAGCAATATGAGTCCAACCTGCAAAATTTAGGGCTTGGGCAATAGAATTTCAAATTTGGTCAGGATTTGATCGAAAATTTGCCAACCCAAATTAAATTTGGACAGGGCTTGACAGGGGCTTTCACAACCTGAATTTTATTGCTAATACTTAAATGTATAAAAAGTATATATAATAGACATGAAAATACATATAAAATATTTGATTATTTTCTCACTTTTCATGAAATAATTTTGTCACCCTCCGTCCCATATTGATAGTCCCTTTGAAAATTTGAAACTTTTTAAGGAGACATAATCATTATATTTTGAATTCAAATTTTAAAGGGTTAATTCCAAAAATGCCCTTCTATTCTCATTTTTAAATATTTTTATAATTACTTTACAAGGGGTAATTTTGGAAAAATCTAAATTTAAAACTTTGGCTTTTCAAAGTGGACATTCATTTTGGGACAACAAAAATTGAAATAATGGACCAAAAAAATGGGATGGAGGGAGTAATGTTTTTAAATTCGGATGGTTAAGCGACTTGGAAAAGGAACTGGGTCACGAGTTATATTATTATTTTTTATTTATCAAAAAAAAAAATGAAATATTTAAATTTCTTTTTATATATAAATAATAAATATAAGTATTAATTTTTTTAAAATATTATATTTCTTCTTTACTTTCTAAAGTAAAAAAGCATCATAAATACACAAAATCACAATTTAACTTGGAATATAGAGTTAATAGAATGACATACACGTTGTGTCTAGGAATTATTTCTATTCCATTCCGTGATGGCATTATCGTAAACTTGTTGCACAATCCTTTTAAGGGGCTCATGGTTAGTTAATTCCACTTCAAAGTGCTCAGTTTTTAACATAATGTTGTCGCATCATATGGCCATCCAAGCACGGTCTATATCGCATAATCCATGAAAGTGCACTTTTTATCTTTTCATCTTTTTTGGGTCACATTACGTCTCTCATTTTTTGCACATCTTTTCGTAAAAAATCAAAAAGTATATCCATTTAGATCATCCCAAACACCCTGTACTTTTTATGGACGGTACTTGGAGTTTCTAAATTTGTCACAGGTAATCCTTTTTTGGCCCACTTTCTGCTATCTGCTTTCATAAATGTGAATTTCTATTGAATGATAAGGGATCTCTGACGTGTGTGTTTGTTTTGTGTGGTGGTAATGGCACATAGCAATTTCTTGTACTGATTTTGATGATTGTTATACTTCAATAAAAGTTCTGTTAGTACCCATACCTCCGGCATGTATGGGGAAAAGAATGAGATGGAGAAAACATTGTCTGCTATCACTTTGTTTTTGGCCCATTATTCTGCAGGTTTCTGTTAGTTTATATAATTTTTGACAAATTGTTGAATATCCACCCTCTTTTCCCTCACTGAGAGGTTCTCTCTGTGGAGAGAAGCTTTGTATACAATTTGCTAAATGGAATTTTAATTAAGGAGGTTTTTTAAAAATTAAGAACCATTATTTAGTTTAGCAATCGTGTTGGATACTCGCTCCATCCCAAAATATTGGTCCCTTTTGGGGAATTTAACTTTTTTTTGGTAGTAAAATTATTACATTTCAAAAATATTAAATTTTCAAAACTACCCTTTGACTTAAAATTAAAGTAGTACATTTTTTTGGGAACATCAATTGTCATGAATTTAAAAGAAGGGCAAAATAGGAGATTCATATTATTTTAGTTTATGATTTTTGAAAAGGGACTAATATTTTGGGACAATGAAAAGTGGAATAAGGGACTAATATTTTGGGACGGAAGGAGTAACTAATTTTCTTAATCATATTTGATTTATTTTTCTTGCTTAGCAATCATTAATTTCTCTGTGTTTGTCTGAACATATTAATCAACTCAACCATGTTGTTGGTAGTATTAATCCATGCGTGTGTGCATTCATGTTGGTAGTCTACCTTCAAGAGTCCGCATTGGCCGGTTAAACAGTGTGATGGGTCTGCTGGCTTTTATATATGCAAGCATGTAGATATGCTTTTATCCTTGCCATTTGATTAAAAAAATTGTCTTAAATAACTATAATATTGTTACATCTTTGTATGTCATTGGTCAGGTTCAGATATCCATGAGCTTGTGTTGATGGAACTGAATTCTTTAGAAATCTTGTCTGGTTAAGCTATCAATGTAATTGGTTTAACTGAGCACGTCTATTAATATACAAATAGGTGTGCATGGTGATTTGGTTTGGGTAGGTTTGTCTTAAACTGGGTGGTTGGAAGGAAATGTTAGCATATTGTTTTATTCATTATGCCATGTTATATACACCCGTGTGTTCACTCATGTCTAAATGGATTACTGCACTTGTGTATGTCTATGGTAGACAAGCTTAATGAATAATGTGAAAATTCATGTAGTTTTGTGCTCTGATCTCTAATGCTCCCTTTATGTATTACGTCACTATAACTTCACTTTTAGACATATATCTGTACATATTTATTGTCAAGTGCCTTATGCCTCAACTGCCATTGATCTTACTGATTTAGAGTCCAATCATATCTGAGAGACAGTTGAAGTCAACTAGTGTATGTTGATTTAATTCTGCTAGCTGCCCTTGTGTCAGTGCATTTTCCAGCAGTGTTAGCACAGCTTTTTTTTGGGTGAATTAATGTTAGCACAGAGTTACTTCCCTTGTTCCTTCAAGTTGCTAAAGCATACTCTCCCTTGTATTTGTCTTGTTCCCCAGACGCATTTCAGGCACATAAAAAAGTGCCCTTGATCTCAAGTTCAAGGATGTCACAAAAGATATCTTCTGACATGGATAACTTGGATGTTGCACTTAATGAAGTCACACTTGAAAATGTGAATGGAGCAGATGTATATGGCACTGGCCTGAAGAATGAAGTTGGTGAATACAACTGTTTTCTAAATGTTATCATACAGGTTGGTTTTAGAGAATTTGTATAATTTTTTGTTTGGATCTCTTTCTTTGGCCTGAGATTTTTGTTTCTCATTGTGAAATTTCAGTCCTTATGGCACTTGAGACGGTTTCGAGATGAATTCATGGGGAGATCAACATCAGAGCATCATCATGTTGGAGATCCTTGTGTTACCTGTGCTCTGTATGATATTTTTACTGCCCTAAGTGTGGCATCTACAGACATGCGAAGAGAGGCTGTGGCCCCTACCTCTCTGAGGATTGCTCTAAGCAACATGTATCCAGATGATAATTTCTTCCAGGAGGTCACATAACTGTGTTCCTTATCCCCTGTTGTTTTTGTAACATAATAGTTCAATTTATATTCTCATCTTATGCTCTAAAACCACACATTTAGATGGATGTTTTTTACTAAAAAAAAGGTCTGACTAATATGGCTTCAATTGACAGGCTCAGATGAATGATGCTTCTGAGGTGTTGGGAGTAATATTTGACTGCCTTCATAGTTCATTTACATCTGGTTTGGGTGTTTCTGATACTGAATCAGTCGAAAGCAATTACAAAGGCTCCTGGGATTGTACAAACACTGCTTGTGTTGCACATTCTCTTTTTGGGATGGACATTTTTGAAAGGATGAATTGCTACAATTGTGGTTTGGAGTCTAGACACATGAAGTACACTTCTTTCTTTCATAATATTAATGCCAGTGCCCTCCGAACAATGAAGGCATGTCTCATTGGAAGAAGATTTTATATAATTACTTATTTGCTGATTTTGCTAGTTAATTCAGCAATATTTATTGATAGAGTTCTTCCTTTAATTTTCAGGTAATGTGTGCAGAGAACTCCTTTGATGAGCTTTTACACCTTGTAGAGATGAATCACCAGCTTGCTTGTGACACTGAGGCTGGTGGTTGTGGGAAGCATAACCATATCCATCATATTCTTTCAACTTCACCGCATGTTTTCACAACAGGTGACTGCAAAGTTGTTGAGAGAATTGTCACTCTGTTACTTAAAAAAAAGTTTAGTGTATTTTGTAAGCAATTTAAAATTATACGTGATTTGTATTGTGCAGTTATGGGTTGGCAGAATACTTGTGAGAGTGCCGAGGACATAGCATCAACATTGGCTGCTCTAGATACTGAAATAGATATTGGTGTTCTTTATCGTGGGCTTGATCCAAAGAACAAACACTCCTTGGTTTCAGTGGTATGTATTTAATTATGAAAAAAGCATGAGGTTTCAATATTTATTTGATATTCAAGAACTTTTCCACTACAGTAGTTTAAAGAGAGAAATTTGATTATATTATTCTATTGTTAAAATGGTGAGCTTTTCTCTTTTAAGGGAACTGAACAAGTATAGGTTCAAATAATGTGAATATCAGAGTATGCTAAAAGAGTTTTCAATTGAAACTGATAACGTGAAAACGTGAAGGACTTTTGGCGATAGATAAGTTATTTCATAGAGGAGAGGTGCTTTTGAACTGGTGTTGCATATGTGAAAAGCGGTGGAAGTGTCATCCACCATCTTATGTTGGTTAATTGGTAGAGGCTTGAGCACTATGGGCTGTTATGTTGATGCTTTTTGAAGTGAATTGGGTTTTCTCAAGTTCAGTGGTGAAAACACTTGGAGAGGGGGATGGTGGTATGGTGGTAGGGGTACAACTCGGGCGAGCTCAACCTGAACAACTTGCTCCAAGCCCAAGTTTTTTAGGGCTTCAGCAATATATTTTTGAATTTAGTGTGGGCTTTGGTAGAAATTCAAAAGTCCAAATTAAATTAGGCTAGCCTTGGGCAAAGACACTGGGCAACTTGAAACCCGAATTATATATATAAATATATAAAGATATTAAATATACATAAAAAGTATTAGCCATTAGATACTAAAATAATGGGGGTGTTTGGGAAGTAGCATTTTTGGCTTTTTTGGTTAAAATAGCACTAAAAGACAAAATATGTTAAAATAGCCAATAAGACAAAATATCATATCAAACCCATAATCATTTCACTTTTTCTCTCACAACATGACATCCAATTACAAAAAAAATAGAACTATCTTCCTAAACACAAAAATTTTAGCCTCCTAAAATAACAAAAAACTAAAATAGCCTACTAAAATAGTAACTTCCCTAACACCCACAATCTAAACCATTATATTATATTCACTATATATCACATATGCGCTAGTATTACTACATAAAACCTAACATTTTCTTTTATCACTCGGAAATGAAAAAAGACCGTTGCAACGGCTCAACAGTGCCTCAATTCTCATCTCTCTTTCTCATCATATAAATGATTTATTTTGATGTTATTAATTATTTTGTAAAAAAAATTTAGTAGTGTCTATTTTTAACACATTAATTAGTCTAGTTGGAAAAAACCTCAAATTTGTGAGCAAGTCGGGCCAAGTCAAGTTTAATGTATTATGTTTGGGTCAGGCTTGGGTAGACATTTTCGGGTTGAAAGTCGGGCTTGGGCAACTCTAAGCGGAAGTTGGGTTGGGCTTGGGCAACCCGATAGGACTTGATTGAGTTGCACCCCTAGATGGTGGGGTAGGTGCATGTGTTGGAGAGCAACTCTGCTTAGTGTCATGAGGTGCATTTGGGAGGAAAGGATGGGTACTCCTTTGAGGTGTTTGTTTGGAAGGATTGGAAGGGGGGATTGGACTCCATGTTCATTCTATGGAGGAGTTTGTTGTTTGGTTGGAAATTTGTTGGTTGGATTAGAAGTCCAACCAGACTCCATGTTCTTCATATATGCGATTGTTGTGTTCCAAGGAGGAGGTGGGATACAAATGGCAGGATAACAATCCCATGGGATTAACTTATAAAAAGACACTTTTATCCCCCAAATACATATATCTTTATTTTATTTTTTTTAAAATTTTTTTGGAATAAAAATTTAATTTAATTTTTTTCGAATGGTGGGATAAAGATTCAAATTTTTGTTTTCACTATCACATAGACAAATGTTTAATTTCATTATGTAATGTACTTAGTAAAATAAAATAAAGTTTAAAAGTCTCAATTAAAAAATAAAATAAAATAATTTAATTTTTATTGATTTTTATTTACTTATTTTTTTAGAAGTTCTAGCAAAAAAATAACATAAAATATTAAAAATAGATTTATTATTGTTATTACTTAGTAAACAATTGAAAAAGGTAAAATAGTCTTTTGATCTTTTGAGCATTTATTATTCTTTATAATATTCTAACCAAACATTTGATTCACTAGGATAGTCCTTTTTAGATATCTAATTCCATGAGAAGACAAACATGTGATGCACATCATTTCTAACCGAATAGTCGAGGGACCATCCAAACAAACATGCGAGAGGATGCGGGGATGCGATTCCAGAAGTTGATGAATTTTATTTGTAGTTTACATATATAGTTGGGACAATGTGATGTGTGCGCAGGAAATCCTACTGATGCATCACGCGTAATGTGGGGAAAGAGAGTCTGTAGGGGAGAAAGGTTGGTTTAAAGGTTATATTATTAGTCCTTTAGTCGTCTTCCTCATGATCAAAGCCTCAAGGGTCACCGAGTTCCGGTGAAGGTTTCAGCCAATGGTTGGTGAGAACTCTGATGACGCAGAGCATATCAAAGTAGGTATGGTGGCTGATTGTCATTGTGAAAGCAGAGATGGGATTCCTTGGAGAAAGATCATAGTTGGGATCAATGTTTTAATAACTGGATCGGACCGGCCGGTTCAACCGGTTAAATCATTGACCGGTTTAGGTTGCGGTCCAAATGAACTTCTAAACTTGTTTTCAACAGAAAACCAGCTTATTTTTGCTAAATCGGTGAAAAAACTTGTTTTCAACAGAAAACTGGCTTATTTTCGCTAAACCGGTGAAAATCAAGGTCGAACCTGCCAACTGTTGAAACCGGTAGCCGGTTCACGAATCCAACTGCATGTTGCTTTTAAAGCAAATATTGAATGTAGTAGGGCTCGAACTCGCAATCTCGTGAGAATCAAACCAAACGCCAACCACTATGATAGGCAACCAACTTGTTAAATCTTCTGAATGTTATATTTATTATATTTCTTCCAAAACATAGTATAATTATTATTTGCTTTAAACAATCTATATGAACATATATATTTGGTAAATTATATTTATGTAAATACAAATGTATCTTAAAATGCAAAATAATTTAAATGAATGTATTTGAATATTTATGATTATTATTTTTGTATAATTTTTAAGATATTTATGAGTTAATTATAGCATTATGGATCGATTTCGGTTGATTTGACAGTTGAACCAGTGACCATTGACCTGATCCTGTTTTTGGTTTGATCAACAGTCCGGGTTTTAGAACATTGGTTGTGATTTGATACAAATATTGAAGCAGGATAACGAGGGGAAAGATGAAGCAGGTGGGGGAGAAGGGTCAGTTAAGTATTATACTAATCCTTCTCCTTGTTCCTATTCTCTGTTCTTTCCTGCCTGGTTCTACACCACCTTCGTTGCACACTTCACTGTTGGTATGCCGTGTGACATTTTTTCTTTTTTGGGTTGCTCTTTTGTCAAGAGGTTTAGGGGATGACTTAAAGGAAAGAGCTATAGCGCACAGGGAAGAGTTGAAAATTAATTGAATGCTTTGATAAAAATATTTTAGATGATAGTTGAATATATCGATTTGCTTATGTTAGAGGATGTTTGGAATGATCTAAATAAGTGTACTTTTTTGACTTTTAATGAAAAGATGTGCCAAAAAGTAGAGAGGTGATGTGGCCTAAAAAAGATTAAAAAGTACACTTTTGTAAGAGATGCCAAATAGTGGGTCCAATATATTAAATATTGAGTCTCTCCATTTTGGTTTATTTTGCATATGGCTAGATGGTCTAAATGACTCCCTAGTCTTACTTTAGTTGGTGCTGCTGCAGTGGTCAAGTCGGGTTATGAATTGCATATCATTTTTTTTAATTTTTTGAATCACATCATATTGTATCATGTATCGATATATTAAATATTGAGTCTTTCCATATTGGTTTATTTTGCATATGGCTTTCCCTCCTCTTACTTTAGTTGGTGCTGCTGCAGTTGTCAAGTCGGGTTACGAATTGCATATCATTTTTTTAATTTTTTGAATCACATCATATTGTATCATGTATCGTAAGATATTTTAACACCCCTAAAAATAGGTAGGAAAATAAATGTAGTTATAGAAAAAACAAATATAAACAATGTATAATTCTTGAAATTGCGTAAGGGTCTTTAAATTAAAGATATGTACACATCAATACTTAATGCATATAAATGCAAAGCGGAGTTAAAATTTGTATTAATAAAAATATTGCATTTCAGTACATTATTAAATTCTCGAATCAAACCTCTAATATCATTCTCAGTAATTCTGTAGTAGGTTTATATTGTCTTCACTCACAATTTAAGTTTTAATATTTTATCTACAGCTCTCAAGTTCTCAAATTGTCCATAGTAGAAAACTTTAAACTTTAACCATGTAAGTGCATGGATCGATAATACAATACACTTGGTACGATACAAGTATATACTTGTCCAAAGGTAGGCAAAAATAGAGTAGAAAGTACCCATCTGATCTGAAAACTACTCTTTTCTAATAGGCTAATGAAATCTTTTGACAATATTAATTTACATAAAATAAGTTCAATTATTATTATTTTTTAATTGCTAAAGAAACTTAACTATTTGTGTAATATATGGTATCATGGATCATATATCATATCATATTCATGTATCATATATGTACGTAAATATTGATGATAGAATTGATTTACCTCTAAAAAGTTTTGAATCGTCAGATATGTATGCTGGATCGTTGGATATTGCAACAACAAATACTGCCAATTTTCATTTTGTCTATTGTTGTATTGCCTTGAGAAGGGCAATAAAGAGCTGAGCTGGTGTGATCAACACAAAATGAACTTTCCACCATCTATAAGTTAGGATATGTATGTTTTCTGGTTTTTGAACATCGTTAGAGTGCTTAATAAATGCAAATGGATTGAATGACTATGTCCTTTGTTTTCTCTACATATATTGTGATCTTTAAATAAATTATTAATTAGTTTATGATATTGAATACACCTCGGTCTCATTACTCTCCACTTTTTCTCATCACCTAGGTTTGCTATTACGGGCAACATTATTATTGTTTCGCCTACAGTCATGATCATGAACGCTGGGTAATGTACGACGACAAAACTGTCAAGGTAAAAATTCAATTCATATACTAGTTTATTTGGTTATACATCCCGTTTATTTTGGTTTTCACTTTTTATATTCAATGTCTAGGTAATCGGCGGCTGGGACAATGTTCTCACCAAGTGTGAGAAGGGAAAGTTGCAACCTCAGGTTCTTTTCTTCGAAGCTGTAAACTAGTTTTTAAGTGGAATTCATCACATTGTTTGGTGCTCTTGGAGCTTCGGCTTTAACCTTGGCATTCATTTGCTGCACCCGATGTTGATTGAGAAGTCATAAAATTTTGGTATGAAATCAGAACAGTGATATATAAATCAGTTCTTTTAGAGGTTTTGTAGGAACAACTGGTTTTTTCAGAGAGAGAGAGATGGAAAAAGTTTTGGTTTAGAATGAAGAAATTTTATGAGCTGATTGAAGATCCTAAGTGTAGGTTTTTGGTACTGTTGATGATTTCCAAATACTACCCGTATCAGCAGATATGAGACTCTTGTCAAATGGAATTATCTCGTATTTTCTTGTGTCTTTACAATAAATGGTGGTTTGGTTGGAGAAGTAAAAGAGCGGTGACCACTGGATTCATCATTTGAGCATGCGATGCTGAATTCTCAATGGCAATGATTTCCAGTCGCTATCGGAAGCATACAATAGTTGTACACAGGGAATACTAGTCATTTAGTATCACCAAGTCTGATAGATTGCTTTTTTTATTTTTATTTTCCTGGGTTCTTCTATATAATGAGGTTTTGTATAGATAACATCACCTTACTGTATTTTTCCTTTATTATTATTATTTTTTTATATTTTATTTTCATCTCTCTTTTGGGTAGGTTAAGTGTTTTGAGAACTAGCATACCATGATGATGCTAATTGGAGAAATGAGATTTTTTTTTTTTCTTGCTTTTTATGCCTGTAGAATATTTTTTTTCAGCATTTCCTTCTTGTTTTGGGCATGTATAGAAAATCTTTGTATTAATGTTCAACAATTATTGGGAAATCAGAAAGGCAACAATTATCCTGCGTGAGCTTTAACAATATTTGTAGTTTGTAGGTGAATACAATACAAGTATTTAGGATTTACTTTGCAAGGACAGCCCGTCAAGCTACTTGAAGAGGGTGTAGTGTTCTCATCTATAAACCGTGTTGGACCGTTGGACCTGGATGAAGGAGACTTGACAAGCTTTGGCTGGCTTGTTATTGGAACAAATTATTGGACAGTCATCGGAATAAGCTAGGTTTGTATTTAAATTTTTTTTTTTTTTGGATTAATTATTGTCCACTTTTAAAGTTAGGTCTGATTTTGCTTAAACTTTTTTTAGATCTGTCTAAGATGATTTTATAAAGTTTAAATACTTTGAAAAAGTACACAAAAATATGTTGTTTTTTTAAAAGCCTTTTTGTGTGAGACAAAATGGCTCATGTTTTTTTGCTTAAACAGTCTTTCGTGGAAGACTATTTGTAATATGTGATATGTTGGTAAACTACTAAGTCCTAATAGTTGAATATTAATTCTCATTAAGTCTTATTAAAAATAAGTCTATTTAAAATTATTGTTAAAAATAATTTTTTTGTGATAATTTTTTATATGTTGTTAAAAATTAATAATTAATGATTTTTTTGTCATGATTTGTATAAATTGTCGTTAAAATTTATAATTAATAACTTTTTTTTTTGATAATTTTTTTTTCATAAGGCCTATTAGATAATAAATTCACTTATTAGGACCTGCACGTAAGTGTCTCATATATATATATATATATATATGAGTGTGTGTGAGGGAAAGAAGGGGAGTGTTTGGGTGCCACCACCCTTCCCCCTTCCGGCCAATGCCGTTCCTCTCCTCTGCTACGCCCTCCTGCCTACTTGTGTTACTTCCTAGGCCTTTCTCCATCGACCCTTACATTCTCTCTCTCTCTCTCTCTCTCTTTTTTTTTTTTTTTACCACTCGATGTTGCTTCTCTTTTTGGCTGCCACCTCCTTCGACAAGACTGCAGATCTGCAAACCGTTGCGACCCCCACCTTCTTCCCTTCCTCATGTGCGACTCTCTCTCTCTCTCCCAACCCCAGGGTGTCGATAAGGGGTGGCAGAGGTGACACTGACGGGCTTGTTGGTGGGAGTAAGAAAAAAGAAAATCAACAAAGTAAGAAGTAGAAAATTAAGGTAGCGTTTGGTAGAGTTTTTTAAATATGATTTGAGAATAAGAGTTGTATTTTGAGTTTGTGAGTTTTGAAATTATGATTTGAGTGTAGAAAATTTGTTAGATGAATGAGTTTTTAAAAGAATTTTGAATTGAGTGAGAAATTTTTGCTGTGACATATGATATGTGATATAAAAATTTACATATCATAACCAAACACACAATTTAAAAATCTATTAGAAGTTTATAATTTTTTTTAAAAAATATTGTTTTATTATATATATATATATATAAAACAAGTGCCAATTGCACAAAAAAAAAAATAAAAAATTACACTGTTCAGGTCAATCGGCCGGACGTCTAAAAGGACGACCAGTAGGTCAAATTTTAAAATTTTAAAACTTGCCTGAAATAAGTTTTTAAAATGGAGGGTGGAATTAATTTTTTAAAACTCAAACCAAACATTATACTAGAATGTAGGGGTAAAACTATGATCCCAAAATCCTTCCAAATGAATTTCTGGTTTTAACGAATCAAAACCTCAAAAATCAACTATCAATAGAGAGAAAAATGTGTGTGATTGAACGGATTCAACATATAGTGGTGTAAACAAAAGCCACGAACTCATCTATCTTTAATATAGATTTCATAACTGTGTTAAAGATCAACAAAGCAAGCATAAACCCCAAACTAAATAAGAGTAGCGATTTTGTAAACATCAGGGTGAGATGGTGATTGTGGAGGAAAATGTGAGTTCACAGTAGAACGCCAGGGTGTCAATTGATAATGAGACTCTGTTGGCTTTGTCTGACCATTGGAATATCATGGTGACTCAGCAAATTAATTACTCAGTAATAATGAGACAATACCTGGAAAATGCAAGCTGTGGTGTGTGATGCTCCAATGGCAAATGAGAGAGACGATGACTTGAACGGGTTTCTCAAAGTAGTGTAATTTAAAGTTTTTGATTTGTTTATTAATTAGGCGTATCTCAAAAGATAATTTGAAAAGACATAGCATGGATTGAGAATAAATTATAATTTTAAATAATTTAATAGAGTGGATTGAGAAATTGAACATATTTAATAATTTTTTGGATGCAAATAGAATCCTTTTTAGATGAGTCATGAATACGTGGTAATGGGGTAGCTCAACAATAACCACATTTAACATTAATTAGTGTGACAATTGAAGATGATTTTACATCTTTGTAATCACTTGTAAATTGAGATATTATTATTTCTTCTCCCAAAACAACCTTATTATGCTCTAAATATATCTATGGAATTCGGGCTAAGATTTTTGACACTTCTTGCTATGAATTAATCAAGAATAAATCAAGATTTTGACTTTGTGACATGATACACCAATGAATAGCTTTAACACTAACGCTAAAGATTAAGAATTTCGATCCTCAAAAAAAAAAAAAAAAAATTTATGATTTAGATTCATTTATTTTATGATGAGATTCATAGTGATATTAAATTTTAGAGGAAAAAAGTTATAGTGCAAGGTTCAAATTGGTTAAATTAAAATTAAATTAAAGTGACTAATGATGTGATTCATCCTTATTTTTTCTTTGATACAAGTCATGAGAAAGTGCATGTAGGCAGAGATTTATAACATATTCATTGTTAATACAGTCGGTTCGGCTATTATGAAATTCTTTTTGTGATATATGATATTAAACCATTTATGATTTTGACACCCAATTAACATATTTATCACTTTTTTTTTTTTTGGGATAACCGAGTGTCCGGGCCAGCACCTCTTCGGAGTGTCACACCTCGACTAATCTCGGGGCCCTGAGCTTATTGACCGGGTAAAGACGCAGTAGCCATGAGCTTATCGACTGGGTAAAGACACAGTAGTCCGCCAGTAGCCAGCTGGAGGTGGGATTCGAACCTGAGACCTAGTAAGGAGCATATTCCTAGGTCCCTGGTCCCTTACCCTCAACCAACTAGACTACCCTTACGGTTAACATATTTATCACTTGATTGCGACCAATATTGATATTTAAGACGATGCCACGATTACAAGTGCATAATTATTTATTTAATATGTTTATATTTTTAATATAAATATTTCATACCTACATGCTAAAACATACTAATATGTGACCACATGTTCTGAATTTCCAACATTGTCCCTCTCCACTTTATTCACAATTGCTGCTGTGTAGCCATTGTTGTACAGTTGTATAGGCCTATTTTGAGACATATTTTGATAATTTGAATCGTTCAGATTTTAAAGTAGATCGAGTAAAACATATCTTAAAAAATCAAGTTGATTAGATATTATTAATCCTTTCATCCATACATATTTGTATTTAATTTTATATTTCAAATCCCAGTTTTTTTTTTTTGATCAACATATTTCAAATTACAGTTGTCATTTATTTTTATAGATACAAATGTAATTCAATGAAATAGTCAATTATATTCAATCAACTTAATTTTTTAAAAATATATTATATTCGATATAATTTAAAACATAAATAATTCAGATCAACATAAAAGACCTCAACATAAGCCTAAAAGACTGCACAAACTACTGTGCCTCCGTCACAGCAGCTACCCATCTCCCCCTCAACTGTCCTAGACTCTATCCCCACCAAAATCGGCTGGATCTCTCTCAGCCACCTCATCTCCCCCTCAACTGTCCTAGACTCTAAACTAACATCCGCACCAAAATCGGCTCAATCTCTCTCTCTCTCTCTCACAGTAGAAATTATTTAGTAGATGTGATTTGTCATATATCAGTGTACCAACTTTATAAGAAAGGATAGATAATTGTTTTGTTAAAAAAAAAGTAATAAGGGTCTCTCTACAATTTGATACAAAACACTACGTGTCATATAAGTCGGATTACTAGAAAATTTATCATGTTGTCAATCTCTCTTTTGACTTAGTCTTCCCATCCGCATATATTTCAGAAGACCTGTTCAGATCAATCCTCCATGAGTTCTTTTTCCATTTAACTCCCCAACAACAATACTCTCCTTTCTCTCAATTCACTTCTTTCCCGTCTTCTCATTATCATTCTACTTTTTTCAGCTTATCACTTCTCATACTTGAATTCATTTCTTGTTATAAAAACAATATAGTTATTTTACGTGCACAGAATCTAATCACAAAACCATGCCACTAGCTTGTGCCGCGTGCAAATACCAAATGAGGAAGTGCTCCTCTGAATGCCCACTCGCACCCTACTTCCCTCCCTACCAACCCAAGATGTTCCAGAACGTGCACCGCCTCTTCGGCATCTGTAACATCCTTAAAATCCTCAAACAGCTCGATCCGAGCCAGAAGAGAGAAGCATTGAGTTCCATCATCTACCAAGCCAACATTCGCGATAGGTACCCTGTCCATGGGTGTTGTGGCGTTATCCACCACCTCAAGTACCAAATATGCCAAGGCCTCGAAGAACTCCATGCCGTTCATGAACAACTCGCGCTTTATCAACAACAACACCACGAGATTTCGTCAACTCTTAATCATTCTACCTCGGAGTTACAATTAGGGATGGGCCTGCCAAGCAATAATAATGCCCTAACCCTATTCAACCAAGATGTTCCTCAAACTTTCAAAGGTGTTGCCACGTTGCCTATTGCGTCGAATCAATTGTACTCCAATAGTGACAATGTTGGTTATAACTCGGGTTATGTTGACAATGACAATAATGATTTGAAATAATCGATGATAGAAAATCATCATCATATAACCATTCCAAAGAGACTTATGAGTCGAGGTACATTTATAGTCGCAATGCAAATTTTGATTTTGATTTTGAAGTTTAATTTTAATGGTGGTTTATAGTTTTTACATGAAGACACTTCAGTACCATTCATTTGGTATAATGAACAAAAAGAACTGCATATTGTGGTT